CAGATGAAAATCTGACTGGATTCCCTCCCGAATCGGATTAAGGCCCCCTCGGCAATCACATTGATCACAATCTGTGTATGATTAGACATTGGATAATCCCACTGGGCAAGAGCTGACAACCTAGATTCTATTATCTCATTTATTATCTATTTTTGGAACTTGCCAGTAGCTCTAGCCTCCAGAAGATGTTTTCCAGTGAAAGAGGAGCCTTTGTAGGTTCTTTTGAAAAATTGTTGCCTGATGGGCTTTGACTGGAGCCAAGCATTTGGTGTCATTTCTAATTCCTACTTTATTTCAAGGTGACGAATAGACAAAATAGGACACGAGTCTGTTAGCCCTTGTTATGAAAACAAAACAAAACAAAACAAAACACATATTTAGCTTCTTACAGATGTGTGTTGGAAAGAATGAAAAACATCCTTCAAAACCTTTAAAAGATTACGACAATAACTTCACAAAGAGGCATCTTCACATTTGAGGATATATGACAAATCATTTTCCATTTGTTTTAGTATGATCAAAGCAAGCATGGGTAAAGTGGCTGTAACGGGCCCCCAAAGTCTCCAAACTTAAACCCACAACACATCCACACACCTATACAGGATGGGGGAGCTTATTACAATATTCAGTTTCCTGCTGGAGAAATAAATTGAAAAATAAGTATCACTGACGTACAAGTCAGATGGAATTTGGTCGCTTACAGTTCCTTTTATCTGAATCCAGAAATACGTCTAAAGGGAAAGGCTGGGACTCGCGGAGCGGGACTGTCACCCCAACCCACGTGTAGTCTTCAGTGTCTTGAACAAGTATGTTACAAGTGAGTGGTATCCTGGACCCTTTTCCCCAGGATTACAAATGAAAACGTTCCCTTCACCTCATGGAAATGCTTGAGAGCAACTGACCACCATCCGACCCCTCCCCCTACCAGCCGCCCTCCTGACCGCCGTCCTCCTGCCTGGACTCAGTCCTCTACGTGTTTGTCTCTCCACAGCATGGCTCTGTCCGAGCCATTTCCCCTCTGAACGTCTTCAGCAGCAGCAGAGCAGGGTCACTCAGGTGCCCTCTGCCAAGACAAGTCCCTCAGATCAGCCAAGATTTCCCACAGTCTCATGCAAACTCCCCTCTCGGTCTCTGGCTCCTGCCGTCCCCTCCATGACAGTCCAGCCACATGGACCTGCCTCGGGTGGTCACGAGGTCTGCGCCCTCTCTGTGACTTGGCTTGTGCCACTTTTTCCCTTTATTCCTCATCCAGCTTCTCCTGGCTGCTCACATTCCCCCAAAATGCACCTGACTCACACAATGCTCTCTGTCTGTGAGGCTGGCCATCTTTACCGCTCCTTCATTGCCTGGAAGAACCCTGCTCACCCTACAGGGCTGGGCCAGAAGCTGTGGGCTCCAGGAACTCTTCCAAGCACTCCGCTTGTCCCCCACCCCAGCATTCCGGACGGCTCCACAGCGCGGACCTGAAGGCAGCGGTGGACAAAGCAGAACACCAAAGTGCCGAGGACAGATCTCAATGAGCAACAGCCACCGCAACGGGGAGAGAGTAAACTGAACTCGGCTTTGATCTGCACAGAGGTGACTGGGTGTTTTGAGGGAGGATGAGGGAATGGGGGTGTGTGGTAGAGGCTCAGTGGAGTAAGGGAAGTGGAGGGTTACAAAGAGCAGGGGAGTCGCTAATCATTGGAGGAATGCAAATTAAAACCACAATGACATATGCCTCACACCTGTCAGAATGGCCATCGTCAGTAAATCAAAGAACAAGTGTTGGCGAGGATGTGGAGAAACGGGAACCCTCGTGCGCTGTTGGTGGGATTGCAAATTGCTACAGCCACTATGGAAAATAATCTGGAGGTTTCTCAAAAAATTAAAAATGCATATACCTTTTGACCCAGCAATTGCACTTCTAGGTATTTATCCACAGAAAACCAAAACACTAATTCGTAAAGATCTATGTACTCCTATGTTCTCGAGTGCAGCTCTATTCACAATAGCCAAGATATGGAAACAACCTAAATGCCTATCAACAGACAACTGGATAAGAAGTTATGGTTCATATATACAGTGAAATATTACTCAGTCATTGAAAAAATGAAATCCTATCATTCTCAACGACATGGATGGACCTAGAGGTCATGATGCTGAGTGAGATAAGTCAGAGAAAGATAAATACCATGGTTTCACTTATATGCAGAATCTAGGGAACAAAAAGAACAAACTAATCAAAAACAGACTCACAAATATAGAGGACAATCGGGTGACGGCCGGAGGGGAGGGGGGTCGAGGGGTTGGGAAAAGGGGGTAAAGGGCTAGAGAAATACAAACTAGTAATTGATAGATGGTCACAGGGATGGGGAGCATGGCGGAGGGAATGCAGTCAGCTCTAATGTAAGGGCCGGGTGGAGAGCCAGAGGAGAGAAAGAGCAATCAGGGAGATCATTTTATAAACTATATAAATGTCCAACCAATGTGCTGTATACTTGAAACTAACAGCAGCAGAGGAGGTGGTTCGTCTATGTGACACCATCTCCTACCCCGCTCCACAGAGCTGGGAGATAGGGCTCCACCTCCAGGTGCTGAGTGGACCAGACAGTGGGTTATGCTGGCAGCCCTGAGCGTTCTCAGGCAGGC